GAAAAGTAATCAGATCTAGCAGTTTTTAAATGCTTTTCTATAGGATAGGGTACTTTCCCACCAAGCAATACGAAATACCTCTAGTTTTGTTTTCCTCCAGCTGTGCTCCATTTTCCAGGTTGCTCTCTTTAGGGTGCGAGTGTGCTCATTATACCACGGTGTCAGACTGCTTTACTTAATCTTCCTTAAGCGTAAAGGAGCAACTGTATCTGAAATGCTAGAAAAGAGAGAGTCCATAGTTTCGGTTACATCAAGTTGTTCTGAGGTATTGGATATGCTAAGGAATTGGGATAAATCAGGAAGATTACTTACAAAGCAGTCTTTTGTGGTAGAAGTGATGGTTCTACCATACTTGTAGTAATGAGTAGAATTTACAGTTTTAGCTATATGAAGTTTGCACAAGACTAAATAATGATCTGAGATATCATCGCTTGGCTGCATAATTTCAGCACCATCGACATCAATTCCATGTGACAGTTGAGGTGGAACAGAGAGTAAGTACTCCTATATTCTTGACTACGCCACTACGATTTTATTTGGGTAGGAGATCCCAGGCCATGTAAAGGGTTTTCCCACACGGCTATTCAAATAAAAGAATATCCTTAAGACAGAATTACTATAAACATGGTTTTAATTTTATTAACCAAGTAGTTTCACTTCCAAGCTGGCTAAATTTACTCATGTAAGATGGAAACACAAATACCTGCAGAGGATAATTTCACTCTCAAAGAAAATAAAAATGAAATTAACACCAAAAATTAAATACAATAAACCCAATCTACAAACTTCAGTTTTCATACATAGCACCTCAAAGCATGACATACAAAAAAACCACAGCACACATGTGAATGATGGTGAATATACTTCCTCCCTATATGGTTACAGTGAGTAAGCTGCCTTTAATGGCCTCGTTGGCATGTAAAATAAACGGACCAAACAAACAATAGTCATGGGCCAACAACAAGAGTGAAAGAAACCAAAAAAACAAGAGAATACAATTTCAAGGCAGGGAAAACAGTGATCAATTGAGCTGGACCGAAACGACTCTAAAAAGAGAAACATAAAACACAATTTGTAAGCCCATGTTATGCAGTCCCACCTTCTCAATCAGGACAGCTGATTGAATTACACAAATATAAAAAGAAAAACAAACATTACAATTTCAAAAAGAAACCACTATCTATAAATGTTTTAGTCAACAGTATTAAAATGCTAGGTATACTAGCCTCACAATAAAAATTAAACTAAATACCTTTGAGACTTTAGCTGATCACACACACCATTAAAGGGCTACAATCATCACCATATACTTCCTAGAGAAGAGAACTCTTTTAACACTCTTGTATACAAGGGTGTCAGCGTAGTGTGTACAAAAGGTATAGTGTTCATCGTTTTACACCATAAAACACCCTACCATAGATCGTCAATGACTGCGGTCAAGCCAGCCACACTCTTTTTTGTCTTGCGAGTGTAATCGTGCACTTATGGTACAGGTGCTGAGAGCAGTCAGAATGCATGTAAAGAAGCTGTCATACCGACGTTACTTTTATGCTTTTATTTTTTATTTGTAGTTAGGAAATACATTATTTTTGTTACATTATTACGTTTGTATTGTACATTAATTATTATAAATAATTTATTAATGTTAATATTAATGTTTTTTTATTCATTGTTTTTTTATTTATTTAATGTGTGTGTGTGTGTGTACAAAATGCGTCCTAGCACTTCCACTGTGTCCAATATTCCAACACTCATATAAAATGTTCCTTTATAGGTTAGCTCATTCTTTCAATTGATATGTATTCAGAGTGACCCTGACTATCACTGTATTTATTTTCAAGGCATTTTACTGTATAGTCTTGGAGAAATCTAAACGCAAAATCACCCCAAACAACAAAATGCGTCCTTGCACTGTGTCCCATTTTCCAACACTCATAAAAAGTGTTCCTTTATAGGTTAGCTCATTCTTTCAATTGATATGTGTTCAGAGTGAGCCTGACTATCACTGTATTTATTTTCCAAGGCATTTTACTGTATAGTCTTGGAGAAAACTAAAAACAAAATCACCCCAAACATCAAACTCCATTGTTGCACTTTGATTATTTCCGTATATTCCAACACTCATAAAACAACCCGATCTCATGAAACGGAGTATAAATAGTATGCCAAATAAAAAATAGTTTTTGGAGAAGTCATGGCAAATTCACTCCAAACATCAAAGTTCATTCTTGCACTTACACCACCTCATTTCAAGCACTCGTAAAAATAATTTCTTTATAGGTTTGCTCATTCTGTCAATTGATATTTATTCAGAGTGACCCTGCCTATTACTGTATTCATTTACAAAGTAATTTTACTGTATAGTTCTGAAGAAACTTTAAGACAAACTCACCCCAAAAAGCAAAGTACATTCAAGCACGTAAGTGCCTCATTTTCAAGCACTAGATACATTATACACACAATGACTTATTGCATTTTACGTTTTACTGTCATTTAATGTAGAGAATACCTTCTTTTTAACCATAAGAACTGATTATGTTCATCATCCATTTGAGAAGTCGTTATTTGTGTGGTTACTAATTCCTCACCTTCAGTTTAGTTTCTTATATCTACAAGTTTTTATAGCCCTGTTGGTTTCGTTTTTGGTTGTTGTGTTTGTTTATGGTGATATGCCTGCAAAGCTGTTTTTTTGTTTACCTTATTCTTCAGTCTATTGAATTAAACTGCTCAGCTGGAATTTCTCACTTCTCATCCTTGACTGAATCATTACAATTATATGGTATTGAGATGAACTGGGATGATCAGAAGAAATGGACAGCACCTGAGTTAAATATATGAGTGTCACAGCAAAGGGTCTGAATACTTAGGACCATGTGATATTTCAGTTTTTCGTTTTTAATAAATCTGCAAAAATGTCAACAATTCTGTGTTTTTCTGTCAATATAGGGTGCTGTGTGTACATTAATGAGGGAAAAAAATTTACTTAAATGATTTTAGCAAATGGCTGCAATATAACAAAGAGTGAAAAATTTAAGGGGGTCTGAATACTTTCCGTACCCACTGTATATATATATATATATGTCTAAATATACCTGCATGCATAAAGGAGCTCCAGTTAGGTGGCCCAGTCATAAAATGGCACTTTTTAAAATATTTTTTGCAGAAGAGAGACACAAAATGCATTATCTGCATTTAATGGTCTTTTTGGAATTTTTTTTTTTTTTATGTTTTTAGTGGAAAAAATTAAGACTAATTTTACATTACAACCATTGGTAAAAACTATTACATTTACAGGTAGAAAAATGTCAAAATCACATAACACTGCATATATATAATGTTTATATCTTATTCAAATTAAATGATATTGATAATGATATTTGAAATGATATTTTTGGGCTACAAAGGAAAGAGGAAGTCCTCTTTAGCTCCAGGTTATATTTGACCCGGTCCAGAGGATTAGGGGGCTAAATATGAGCCATCAATTATAAATGAGCCATGGCATATAGGCATGCGCCATGGATTGCATGGATTTTGTGGTTTGTTTAAACTTGTATGTGTGTGTTTATTTCAGAACCTGCACCTTCACCACCTTTGGAAAGGCAAGTATTACACTTAACTGACAAGTTTGTAAGTGATATGCCATAACATATCATAGAGTTGTGTTTCTTTTTCCCTCGATTTTATGTCATTTTAAAGTCAAGGAGAATTCAAAAAAGCCTGGAACAAATATTATTAAGCATTGACAAATTTACTAAACCTGGGTCCAATATAAAGGACAGTGTTTATGATGACGCTGATTTATGGGGAGATGTCTGCAAAGACTTGGAAGTGCCCACTATATTTGCAAATCGGGTAAAAAGACAATTTCCCTTTTGTAATAAAAAAAAAAAAGCCATTCAAATGCCATTTAATCATTAGTTAGGGTTTACTTTGTGTTGCTGATCATGTCTGTTTTCAGGGCTCCTAGGAGATTTTCACAAAAGCTTTAAAGGATGACAGTCCTCGTGCTGAAAAAGAGTCTGAATCGTCAGGTGAAAAGGTAGTAAAATTGTATATATTTTAACAAAACAGCTCGGTTTCTGCTTCAATAATGACAAAGTTAAGAATTAAAGAGTTTCTAAACTCTTTAATGTACTTTACAGTGTTTATGAATATACCTTCTAAAATGTAAAATAACAATATGTTACTAATGAGTCATGACAAGGTTGAATAGTTACCATGTTATTTTTTTACTTTTCTTTATCAGGAAACTTCAGAGAGCAATAGTGGCTCAAAAATGAGACCTGCTCGTGATGTTGAGGACAGACCTTGTGGAGAGCAAAATTTCTCCTTGGTAATTTGTCTGTCAGTTCATTCAGAAGGTTTTTTTTTATGGTGACCGTGCCATACTGTCTATGATCTGAAAAAATATAAATGATTGTTAAAGGATGCACTGTATATTTATCCAGATACTGTGCATTTTGTAAAATGAGACCCACGTGTTAACTTACAGAGTTCAGATCCAGTCTTCTCATTGAAAACTTAATTTGAAAGACAATAATTGCACTTTGTAATATTTAATAATAGATCAGGCTATATTTTCAATTCTTATAACTAACAAAATCTGATTTTTTTTTTCTGACATTGTCACAAAGGAGCCACCTCAGAAGTGTTAAGCTATAGAAGCAGTTTAGCTTTGAATGGTTTTGCTCTGTAAGTTAAAATGCACATCCAAACAATAGCATTTTTATATATAAAAAAAGCAAGTAGATATATTACATGACCATTTACAAATGTATTAAATGGGAAAAAACAGTCAGAACAAAAAAATAACTCAAGAAATAGCACTAATTATTTGCTGCCACCTTTGCCTCAAAATGTGCACTCTCTTTGAACAATGTGAAAATGTCACACATATAACATACAGTAGATTTCAATGTTACAGGTTCACCATTTCAGAAAAGGAAAGTTGTAATTTATAAAAAAAAAAAAAAAAAAAGAATACAATTCATCTGTTTAATAGTAAAAGCCTGCATATCTATTTCAATCCAAATTATCATTGGAATTATTTTTGTGTTACAGGATAATGACAAGGAATCTGACTTGGCTGAATCAACTTACATTTCTACAGAGAGCAGTGAGGCAGAAGAAATTCTTTAGATGTAGTTTGCCACAGGAGCCATGTTTCTTTTTTATTGACGAAAAAGAATGGCAAGACCTGAGGAAGCATCAGAAAGGAAGATGTTTTCAAGGATTACAGTGGACAAACATAATTGCAAGGGGAATAAGGTCAATTCACCCATACTGCAGTTTTGGTTTCAAACGCCACAGCGTAAAAACCCTGCAGTCACTAAAAAAAAAACACTCCCCTATTCAAATGCACTGGCTACTGCCGGTTTGAAGATTGCCCCATTAATGTTACTGTGGAAGTCTGCTGTGCTATTCACAGGAGGAGATGTGTGAACTAAAAGGGAGGCCAGTGCGTGCAGATGCACGTACTTCTACTGGAGAAACTCTGGAAACCAAACTACCCAGAAGTGTCTATTTGGATTCCATGCAAAAACTCACAGAGATGGTGATGCAGTCTGGGTGCAGAGATAAAGCGCCAACAAAAGAGATTCTGAAAACCATTTCATGGAGTCAAAGACAACTGAAAAGACCTCATTCAAATGAACTTCTAAGTCTCCAAATGCTAATTAATGAAAAGGGATCAGACAATGAAGTCCTCCAGAGAGTCATGATGCACCCAAAAGGCATAATGCTGTGGTCAAAGAAAACACTGTCAGTGGTTTACAAAAGGTGCAAGGAGGACATTGTCTATCTGGATGCAACTGGAAGTATAATTCAAAAAGGAAGCTCCACAAGTCCTCCATACTGTGTGTATGAATTAGTTGTGTGTAATCCTTCCAAGGGGGCATCTCCTCTTCCAGTTGCAACCTACCCAACTTGTGACCATACCACAGCATCTGTCACATACTTTTTGCAGGCTTTTCAAACTGACATGATGAAGCTGTATGGGAAAAAGGCAGTCAAAAGACCAATTATGATCATTTGTGATGGCTCCCTTGTGCTTCTAAATTCTATTTCTTTTACATTCTGCAAACTAAGTCTGGAGGATCTTCTGCAGATGTATTTTGAAGTCATCACTGGCCAATACCAGGCAGAGAAGTTTGATATTCCCATCCTTCATAGATGCTTAAGCAACAGTAGGTATTTTTGGGAAGGGATAGTAGTTTAAAACTAATTTTGCTTTTTCTTTCTGTCATTGTAGTATGCAAAGACATTACAAGTTTGGAATGCACACATTTGGGCTACTTGCATGTTCAACAAATCTGAAGCAGATGGATGAGGTGCTTCTCAGTGCCACAGTCGTGTTTTGTAGTCCCTGCAGTGGAGACAATGTGGCAAAGCATTACAACAACTTAGTAGTGCTTATGCAACAAGTGGGAAAACTGGAATTTGAGGAACAAAACATTGTTGCTGAGGACTACAAGGCAATTAACACAGTGTGACTTCTATTCATGTAGAATATTGACAGCACACAGCATGGTCTTATGTTGGAATCTCTGACTTGACCTGCTGTGGATTTTTTAGAGGACATCGCATTCGCAACCATGTGTGTTTCCATCATGTACATGAAGAAAAGCATGACAGTTAAAGACTTTTTTTCAGGACGCGCCCTACCTCTTGCTTAATGCTTCTAGGGAGTAGCTGTCCTACAATTTGATGCTGAATTATTAAGTCATCCTGTTTATTTACAGAAGTATAACTACATTTATTATATGTGCATACATTTTGAATGTCTTCACAAAACCACTGACATATTTCATTTATGTTTTAAATACTATGTCAAACTACAGAAAGTAGTGTGCTAGTACATAAACCTTAATATTTCATTGTATAAAATTGAAAACATTTCTTTCCAGAATGATGTGGGAACCACAGCTCTCGAGAGCCATTTCCAGCAGGTAATAGAGAGAGCACCTCTTGACCTTGATGGCGAAGAAAACTATCTTCATGCTCCAGCATTCATTGCCAGATTGGCCAAGTACTTCCTCCCACATGCAACTCTGTGGTCTGGTCTGATGCTAGGTAGGTTTGAGTCTTTTCTAAAGTTATTATTGATAACAATAGAATATATATATATATGAGTGGTGTGAAAAGTGTTGGCCCCCGTCCTGATTTCTTATTTTTTTGCATGTTTGTCACATTGTTTCAGATCAAACAAATTTAAATATTAGTCAAAGATAACACAAATAAACACAACATGCAGTTTTTAAATGAAGGTTTTTATTATTAAGGGAAAACAAAATCCAAAACTACATGGCCCTGTGTGAAGAACTGTTTCCCCCCCCTGTTAAAACTGTGGCTTATCACACCTGAGTTCAATAGTGCAAGAATGCACTTTTTGGAGTGAGTTTGCCTTTAATTTTCTCCAAAAGGACTTATAAATGAATACCGTGATAGTCAGGCTCAGTCTTAATACATATAAATTGAAAGAACGAGCTAACCTATAAAAGGAACATTTTTTATGAGTGTTTGAATATGCAGAAATAATCCAAGTGCAACAATGGAGTTTGATGTTTTGGGTGATTTTGCTTTTAGTTTTCTCAAACTATACAGTAAAATACAACGTGTTTTTACAGGCACTAAAACGTTCAATACTGACGTATTTTCAGCCTCTGAACGTACAAATACATACGTATTTTCAGCATTTAAACATAGAAAACTGACGTATTGACGACACCTAAAAATTAATACTTATGAATATTGAAATCACGGCATTAATTTTATTAGTTTTTAGTTGTCATATGAATTACCTTGTTTTCAATTGCATTATTAAATTGTTTACTCATTTACTTATGAAATGATAACATTTGTTTTGTTGTGTGATTTCTGCTGCCAGCTTGTTTCTAAGAATATGCCTACATAATGTTAAACTTTAGTTTAAACCTTAAAATAAATAAAATTTCTGCAATCGTTTAACCTTTACTTGTCATGTAATGTTTACTTTGATTGTCATGGGCCACAAAGGGCATTTTCTCCGACATGCTGTGACTGACAATAGAACTATAAAATACACCAAAAACGCATAATTATGAAATGAAACAATTTTGTTAGTGCGCTGTAATCCAAATCTTCAGAATCCATACGACTGCGAGGAACAGACCCAAATCCAAGCCTTTTTTCGGCGATCTTCTTCTCCATCCCGAGCAGCGAGTCCAGTGACCCTGAGCAGCAAAGCCACCGCTGACTGACGCGCTCTTTACTAATTCAAATGTTGCCGCTTCAAATGACAGGTTTTACGGCAGGATAATCGAATGCTCATTGGCTCTCACCTGCATTCGTCACAGATTGCGACATGCCGTGTTTGAATGATGGTTTATAGGTAGAAGTGGAATTAGCGACTATAAAATATTTTAATGCTATATTGTTACTAAAGTGGTTATTTTCCTGCGTATTTCGGTCATTTGCGTTTTATATTCGCTATATCGGTAGGTTAAGGTTTGGGGGTAGGTTAAGGGGTCAAAATATAAATCGCTTATTGATAAAATGATAATGCACTGATATGAATATCTTGATGATATAAAAGATACGTAAATATTTTTTAAATTTTTTAGCTAAAAATACATAGCAATTTGTACATTTTAAACATTGAAATACGTCTAAATTGTAAATTTTCACATTAATAAAAACGTACAAAAAAAATTTATAGCAACTATAAAAAATATTTTAATGCTATATTGTTACTAAAATTGTTATTTTCCTGCGTATTTCGGTCATTTGCGTTTTATATTCGCTATATCGGTAGGTTAAGGTTTGGGGGTAGGTTAAGGGGTCAAAATATAAATCGCTTATTGATAAAATGATAATGCACTGATATGAATATCTTGATGATATAAAAGATACGTAAATATTTTTTAAATTTTTTAGCTAAAAATACATAGCAATTTGTACATTTTAAACATTGAAATACGTCTAAATTGTAAATTTTCACATTAATAAAAACGTACAAAAAAAATTTAAAAATACGTTTTGTGCTTGTAAATGTTACGTATTAATACCTACGTATAAACATGAGACCAGGCTGTAAAATACCTTGAAAATAATTACAGTGATAGTCAGGCTCACTCTGAACACATATCAATTGAAAGAATGAGCTAACCTTTAAAGGAACACTTTTTATCAGTGTTGGAAAATGGGACACAGTGCAAGTGCCAGGATGCACATATACATATATACAGCTGCATCTCAATAAATTAGAATGTCGTGGAAAAGTTCATTTATATCAGTAATTCAACTCAAATTGTGAAATACGTGCATTAAATAAATTCAATGCACACAGACTGAAGTAGTTTAAGTCTTTGGTTCCAAAGACTTAAACTACTTCAGTCTGTGTGCATTGAATTTATTTAATACACGAGTTTCACAATTTGAGTTGAATTACTGAAATAAATGAACTTTTCCACGACATTCTAATTTGAGATGCACATACACACACACACATTAAATAAAACCATTAATATTAACATTTATAAACATTAAAGTATTTATAATAATTAATGTACAATACAAACGTTTATGTACAAAAATAATGAATTTACAAACTACAAATAAAAAATAAGTTAAAAAGCAAAAGTATAAAGGTAACGTCGGTATGACAGCTTCTTTACATGCATTCTGACTGCGCTCAGCACCCGTACCGTAAGTGCACGATTACACGCGCAACACAAAAGAGTGCGGCTGACCGCAGTCGGCAATGCTCCCGTGCGGTATGCTATGCTGCTCGTTCAGCGTCTGACACGCCTCCAGCCCAAGACAACCAACATGAGAATTAATCAATTAAACGTTAACACTCTTCAAAACAGATAACACTCTATAAAAAAAGACCTACCAGAGATTGTTCTTCTACTCACAGTCAACCACCTGCGCGCCAAACAATTGAAACGCAGCTCCTCTACTTCTTCTTCTTCTTTTCTTTTTAATGGCGGTTGGCAAACCCACTTAAAAGGTGCATTTCCGCCACCTACTGGACTGGAGTGTGGAGCATGACGTATATTGGTGACAGCATATACAAAAAAATAATAATAATAAATAATAACCTTTAGTTTGACCAAAGGAGTATTACACAAGGATACAATTATTTTATATACTTCATTATGTGATCTTCAAATTCTATTTATTAAACCTATTGCTTTCAAATAATTAATAATTGCATTATAGACTTTATACTGTGCTGAAGCATACTCAAGTATTGTCTTAATTGTAATTCTTTCAATATTCAACAAACTTAATTCTTCTATTAATCGCATTCTTTCTCTTTCATATGCTTCACAATGTAATAGGATATGTTCCACAGTCTCTGGTATACCACAATTATTGCAATTACCTGATTCATGTTTACCAATAATAAATAATGATTGATTAAGAGCTGTGTGACCAATACGGAGTCTAGATATTATTGTGTCCTCCTTCCTATTTCCAAACTTGTTTTTGAATGTTGTATAGATGCCGACCCTTTACCTCCCTATCCCACATCTTTTGCCATTTCCTAATCATAGCCCCTCTGATTATTCTTCATTTCTGATTTACTGAGTGATATATTTATATCTATATCGGTTTGTTTTAATGCCTTCTTTATATGGCCGTACCATATAACTTACAAATCCAAGAAACACTCTAGCTGGTAACTTCTCCTCATCAAATTGCAACATGACCGACAAACTATCCATTCTTTCCTTATTTCTAACACATTTCAACCTTCTGGCATTGCTCACTGACGCCCCTGTAATATTCTTTTTAATTGTCTCGTCAGATACATCACTAGGTACCCCTGAGATTACTCCTCTTATCCACTTCTTTTCTTCCACTGCAGAACAGACGATTTTTTGACCCATCAAGGATTTTAATCCTATTGCTGCTTTTTGCTGTTTTCCATCTTTGCAAAACAGTAGCATTCTATTTTCTCTCAACACCATTGCTTTTTCAATTTTTCCTAACTTTTCCTTCAGTACTTTAGTTAGTTTTAACGGATTTATTGCACTCACCGATTCAGATGTAAATTTCACCATTACTTTATATTCCTCCTTTTTCTTTCTAGTTGCACCGTTTTCTCTCTCACTATCCGTACCTGATGTCGGACTCCAACTTTTCTTTAGTTTCCTATTTTCTACCACCGTCCAATTACTATTTTTAGAGTTCTCCTTACCCCGATCAAACATTTCTCCCTCCATATCACTTCCAGTATCTACGTCACTTCCTTCCATCAGTTGCTCCATTCACAGTCCAGTTGTTGCCGCCCTCTGCAGCTCCTCTACTGATCGGAAGTGCGTATTTAAAGGGAAATCCTGCATACCATCATAAGTACAACAGCGCCTCCTAGTGGCTTGCTACACAGTATTAAATCAGCACCATTACTTCAAACAAGTTATATTTGAAGCCCGCCCTCTGAGAAATACTGAACATATTGTTATAAACTGTAGCAACACCTCCCCCTTTACCTTTTGGACGTGGCTCATGTTTATAACAGTAATCTTGGGGGGAAGACTCGTTTAAAATAATGTAATCATCAGGTTTTCAAACAGAGCACATCTAGGTTATGATCAGTGATCATATCATTTACAAAAAGTGCTTTTGTAGAAAGGGACCTGATATTCAATAAACCAAGCTTTATCATTTATTTATCCGTATTGCATCTGTTTTTTATTTGTTGAACATCAATTAAATTGTTACGTTTTTTGTATTTTCTAGTTCGGGGGAACAGACACAGTCTCTATAGTGTGATATCTAGGTGAAAGAGTTTCTATGTGCTGTGTGCCATATTTCTAGACAGAAGAGCGGCACCACCCCAGGAGGAATGAAGACAGGGAGGGGACCAGAGCATATTACAGTGTCTGACATCATGCTTGCAAGTTCAAACACCTCTTTAATGTTATTTATAGTGATCTCCGACTGGCGAAGTCGAACATCATTAGCGCCGGCGTGAATAACAATCTTACTGAATTTATGTTTAGCATTAGCCAGCACTTTTAAATTTGCCAAGATGTCAGGCGCTCTGGCTCCCGGTAAACATTGGACTATGGTGGCTGGGGTCTCTATTTTCACGTTCCGTCCAATAGAATCGCCAATAACTAGAGCACTTTGATCAGGTTTCTCAGTGGGTGCGTCACTGAGAGGGGAGAACCTGTTTAATGTTTTGATTGGAATGGAAAAGCGGTGTTTTGACCCGCGACTATGCCACCTCACAGTCACCCAGTTGCCCTGCTGTGGAGTCTCTGTAACTGGAACCGAACAATGTACAGGACTCCCTGAGCTAGTCGCATCCAAAGGTGTATCTAGAGCCCTCACATTCTTACTATCCTCAGTTAAAGTGTGGATGCGTGTCTCTAATTCTGAAACCTTCGCTGTCAGCCTAACTATTTCCCTGCATTGATCACATGTGAATCCCTCGTCGCTGACAGAGAGAGCTAAACTATACATGTGGCAAGCGGTGCAAACAACAATAGCAGGAGAAGAAGCCACTACTCACCGTGATTGATGAATGATTCTTACTTAGCACTGTTGTTTGATGAACTTGTGAAAAAACGGAGCGAGAGAGAAAATAAATGGAGTGAGAGAGAGAGAGAGAGAGAGAGAGAAAGTAGAACAGTAGAAGTGTTACCACACATTTTACAAGATTAGATGTTTGTCAGTGGTGCTGAGGCTCTGCAAATCATCCACCACCTTTCTCTGTTTATGTGGTAAGTGAAATTTAATTTCATCGTCCATCGCGATGTTTCACTGTAGACATCGTCCAATGCCAATTTTGTAGACATCGCCCAACCCTAATAAGCAACTAGTTAAAAGTGAGAGTTGAACTCTAAAATAAAGTGTTACCAATATCACCTAGAAAGTAGAAACGGATTACAGTACCTTTGTTGTAAATGGAGACATTTTATTGCGTCATCAGTGTTCATCTTTAAGCAGGTAGTTTGGGTTCTGGATGAAAACAGATTTGTGTGCTTGCAAGAATGTATGTCATTCTTGTGGCCTCACAAAGTATGTCAAAGATACATAACAGCTACAAGTGTATGCACTACTTGCTTTATGCAAGCACTATATAAGATAAATCACCATACAGGATTTACCCTATTATACTTTATCGACACGAATTGATAGGTGAAACAACAAATAACAACAACAGCCGCCCACAATTAGTCTAGAAACAAAGCATCAGGCTGTCTTTGAGTTCACATGAACAACGGTTAAAGTTACTCGTCGTCAGGCTACAGAAGAATACCATAATTCCTCCGTTCAGTTAGGCCTAAGACATCGAGAGTCACGCAGACCTATAACACCCCAGCCACAACACATAACTGCGAATAACATGCCTTACCTTAACACAGAATCGACCACAGAGTCCAGCGTTTATATTTTTTCTACGAATCTTTGAGTTAACATGTACTAAACATGAGTGGAATTTGCACCGCAGCGCCCCCACACCTTGATGCTCATGACAAGAATAGCATGTATAGTTATCTTTATTGAAGTGAATTAGGTTTAAAGGGGTGGTTGACTGTTTTTTTTCTAGGCTTGATTGTGATTATGGGGTGCAGTCTAACATGTGTTAATGCTTCGTTTGTTAAAAAATGCATTATTTTTCCACATAATTTACCTTTATTCCACAGCGCTCTGTCCCTTCTCCTCTGAACGTGCTGGTCATTTCCTGCTTTTATGAAGCCCCTCCCTCAGAAATACACGATGGGCTCTGATTGGTTAGTTGGCCCAGTGTGTTGTGATTGGCTAAACCGCCTCTAGCGTGCGTCTAAGTGTATTCACTGAGCTGATGATCTGAATGAGAGAGATGCAGAGCGTGTGCAGAGCAGGGAACGCGAGGAATAGTATTAAGAACCGCTGCTTTTGAACATTGATTTTGAAACTTGTGAATCCATTAGAATCGTTAGAAGACAGAATCCCAATTCATATATGAATTGATTTTTACGTGCACCTCTACTTTTCTCTTCCTCTTCTCTAAAGCAGCGCAGCATGGCCCCGCCCCCTTTGCTGCGTGTTGCCCGGAGGCGGGGTTTATGTAAAATTCTGGGTTCTTGACGTAACAGACCCGGGAAGTAACTCGTTGTAGTCCCTTACCAGCCGTTTTTGTAGGCATTAAACTGCCAGAATTTTAAAAGGCGATATCTCCGTTTGCATTGAACTTTCAGCTTCGTAACTTTGCAGATATTGTTTATGATCAAACAGCAACATTACACACTAACTAACGTTAAAAAAGTGAAATCGCAATCAACCACCCCTTTAAATCGCCGTCATGCATGAATGAATTATATTTTTGCAATTTTACACATAATAATCCACGATGATCACATTACACAAAACTGAAATTGCACGTCAAAATAACACATTGTCAATATTTTTTGAGACCCCCCAAAATTTCACAAATAACGTTTTCAGGGGAGCCCATGTCTTATGAAGGGGAGCCTAGCTCCCCTGTAGTTCGCACACTGGTTCCACTGACCTGGAGACAGGTTTGTTGTTTGGACCACGCACTGTACCAGCGAGTAAAACATCCTCCAGCACCTCTGACTCTGTATCCGATTCCGCCGCGTTTGAATGTGAAAGACTCCTTACTCACTTAGTTCCGACTTAGTTCCATCAAATAAGACAATTCCAACCATGAACATTTTACACCAATTTCTTCAAACCGTTCATGCGGTTCGTTGATTTCAAATGTTCTTACGTCACAAGAAAAGTACGCAGTGATTGGTGGTTTTAAACGTGGCCCAATCAGCGCTTCTCGTCTCCTGTAAACACATTCAACAACAGTTCAGAACTGATGCCAAATGCCAGACTTTTTCTTCCTTTTGTAATTGAGACCTTGGAATTCAGCTGACTTCTGCTGACCACTCAAGGCAGAAGCCATTCTAGTAATGTTCTAGCTTTGTTAACACGTCACATTACGATAACGTTTT